TCCCCTCCGTCCCCCCTGCATCCATCCCCCCGATCCCCTTTGCGTCCATCCCCCCTGCATCCGTCCCCTTGTTTCCCCCCTGCATCCATCTCCCCTGAATCCTCCTGTCCCTCCTGTATCTGTCCCCCTTACGCACATCCCCTTCACCCCTTCCATCCCTCCCCTCCGTCCCCCTTCCATCCCTTCCCTGTGTCCTCCCCCTGACTCCCTCCCTTCTGTCTGTCCCTCCAGCCCACCACGTGCCCCATGTCCCCTTGGTCCCTGCCAGCTCCTTGGCTCTGTCCCCAGCTCCGGGAATCGCCGGGTGGTGGAGGAGTTGAAATTTCAGCCGTCTGTAATCAGGAGATGGGAAAGTGGCCCCGGAGTGTCTCGGTTTTATTTTTAGCTCTGCCTCCCCCCCCCAGCCCCCGCAGCATCGCACCCCAGCATTGCCCCGTGCTGCGGCTGGGACAGATCTTGCAGGTGCTGATGGACCCTGTGCCTGGGTGCTCGGCAGGGGACAGGGCAGCTAGTGCCACCTGCACGTCGGCCACCGGGCCCAGAGACTGCTGCTGGGGAGCAGGGACTGCCAGGGGATGCACCAGGCGCTTGAGGTGGCCAAGGGGAGCCTCCCGCAGCTCCTGTTGGCCCGCCGGGGTGATGAGCTGGCCATGGGGATGGATGCGGCCAGTCCCCGCCCGCGGTGGAGCTGTGGACAGTGACCGTCTCCGGGACACCTCGCGGCAGTGGCATTCCAGCCCTGTGGCCATGGTGCCATGGGGTCTTTGTGCTCAGCCATGTCCAGCCCGACCATCCCAACTCACCCAGGTGACAAGGATGAGGGAGACACATGGCTGCTTCCCACTTTGCCTTTATCCCCCAGGGCCCCGGGGTGGGTCCCCTCCATCCCTGGGGACACCTGCCCTGGATCTTGTCCCGCTGGGGACACCTCACTCCCCAACATGCTTTCTGACTTTTGATAATTATTTATTTTCTTTCTCTCCCCCAGAAAAATTCAAGAACCACAAAATCATCTTCGTGGTGGGTAAGTTGGCGTCTGGGTCCTGCTGCTGGTGGGGTCAAGGCCACAGCACAGCCCCGTCCCCCTGCGCCTCCAGGTTGGGGGGCTGCGGGGAGCAGCCAGTGCCCAGGGCTGGGGCTGGAGGCTGAGGCTGGGGGACCTCAGCTGTCCTCAGGTGCTGTGGGGTGGCTGTGGCTCCAGCCCGGCTCCTTGAGGCCATGGTGGGGTGTGCTGGGACTGGGAGGGCGCCGCTGGCCGGGCGTGGGGTGGCAGCATCTGGGGTAATGTGACAGTAAACACCTGGGCGGTGACATCCTGGGTGCTTGATGGGGCAGTGAGGTCCTGGGTGCCATCGGGCAGTGATGTCCTGGGTGCTGATGGGGCGTTGATGTCCTGGGTGCCATCGGGCAGTGATGTCCTGGGTGCTGATGGGGCGTTGATGTCCTGGGTGCCATCGGGCAGTGATGTCCTGGGTGCTGACGGGGTGTTGATGTCCTGGGTGCCATTGGGCAGTGATGTCCTGGGTGCTGACGGGGTGTTGATGTCCTGGGTGCCATTGGGCAGTGATGTCCTGGGTGCTGACGGGGTCATGATACCCTGGGTGCCATTGATACAGTGATGTCCAGGTGCTGCTGAGGTGGTGGTGGTGTCCTGGATGCCATCAGAGTGGTGGTGCCCGTGTGCCAGTTGCCAGCAGCCCATGCCACCCCCAAGGACCTGGTATCACCAAGACCACCCCAGGAGCAGCTCTTCCCATCCTTCTGGCGCTGGGCTTGGGGACACCGACCCCCATCCTAGCGGGCTCTGGGAACTCCTATGGGTCTGTGCTGCTGCTTCCATGTACCCCGCCAGCTCCTTACCCATGGCTTGGGGCACGTGTGGCCCTCGTGTGACTTGCAGGTGGCCCCGGTTCAGGGAAGGGGACCCAGTGTGAGAAGATTGTGCAGAAATATGGCTACACCCACCTCTCCACGGGGGACCTGCTGCGGGCAGAGGTCAGCTCAGGCTCGGAGCGGGGCAAGAAGCTGCAGGCCATCATGGAGAAGGGCGAGCTGGTGCCTCTGGTGAGTCCATGTGGGCCACCAGGCAGGGGTGGCTGTGGGGACACCAGATACCACGGTGACAGTTGGCATGTGGCCTGGGGACGTCTCCATCCCTGCCACCCCAGGGGTGACGTGCAGCCGGGATTGGGGGCGCTGGGTGCTGAGGGGGGTCATTTTGTCCTGTGTCAGCCCTGGCAGCTCTGTCTCCCCCTCACCAGGACACGGTGCTGGACATGCTGCGGGATGCCATGATAGCTAAAGCAGACGTGTCCAAGGGCTTCCTCATCGATGGCTACCCCCGCGAGGTGAAGCAGGGAGAGGAGTTTGAGAAGAAGGTGAGAGCTGGTGCCGTGCTGTGACATGCCATGCTGTGCCATGCCACCCACCATCCACGAGGATGATCTGAGGGCTGGAGCACCTCTCCTGTGAGGAGAGGCTGAGAGAGTTGGGGCTGTTCAGCCTGGAGAAGAGAAGACTCCGGGGAGATCTTATTGTGGCCTTCCAGTCCCTAAAGGGCCTACAGGAGAGCTGGGGAGGGACTTTTTACTGGGGCATGGAGTGACAGGATGAGGGGGAATGGCATCAAACTGGAAGAGGGCAGGTTTAGATTAAACATTAGGAAGAAGTTTTTCACTTTGAGGGTGGTGAGGCACTGGCACAGGTTGCCCAGAGAGGTTGTTGAGGCCCCATCCCTGGAGGTGCTCAAGGCCAGGCTGGACGTGGCCTTGGGAAACCTGGTCTAGTTGGAGGTGTCCCTGCCCATGGCAGGGGGGTTGGAACTCGAAGATCTTCAAGGTCCTTTCCAACCTAAACCATTCTATGATCCAGGCAGAGGGTCTTCATCCAGCAGCAGCCTGACCCCCCATCCCGGTGAAAATCCCATCCCAGCGGGGTCTAAACTGGGCACTGTCCCAGCCAGCTGGTCCCCCTCCTCGGGGACAGCCTGCACCCAGGGTGCAGTGGCAGGGGGACATCTCTGCAGGATGTCCTCTGACAGGGGATGACTACAGTGCTGGTGCGATGGTGATGGCAGAGAACCAGGGCTTGGCCACGGTGTCCCTCTACCTTCCTCCGCATGGGTCTGGGGCCAGCAGAACACATTCCAGTATCCTGGTGGCCCCCAGACCTATGCTGACGGAGGTAGAGGATGGTGTGAGGACATCTGTGACCTCCATGCCCACTGCCACTATATCCCCAAACCAAACCAGACCCTCGGCATGGTGACAACCATGTTCCCCCCTGCCCACAGATCGCCCCCCCCACGCTGCTGCTCTACGTGGACGCGGGGAAGGACACGATGGTGAAACGCCTGCTGAAGCGAGGCGAGACCAGCGGGCGGGTAGACGACAACGAGGAGACCATCAAGAAGCGTTTGGAGACCTACTACAAGGCCACTGAGCCCGTCATTGCCTTCTACAAGAGCAGAGGCATCGTCCGCCAGGTAAGCATCCTTCAGCCTCACGGCTCGGGGAGCATGTGGCCCTCTGGGAGGGAAAGTGATGGATGGGGATGATGCAGGAAAAAATGGCTCAATCCTGGCTCGTTTGGGGTCGGCTGGACCCCGTGGAGCCAGCTGGACCCCCTCCAAGGATGGCCCTGCACTCCTTTGCCCTAAATTGGCCCCGATCTCTCTACCCATGGCCAAAATCCATCCCTGGAAGAGCTCCGGTCACGCCATCCCCTCGGGTGACAGCCCCCCCCCCAGCTAACCCCTCTGCACCCAGCTCAACGCCGAGGGCTCCGTGGAGGAGGTTTTCCAGCAGGTCTGCTCCCACCTCGACAGCCTGTAGCCGACCCCCGGCCCCGCTCCCCCCGGGCGCGCTCCGGCAGAGACAGCGGAAGCGGCTTTATCCTGTTTTCGTGGACGGAGCCGTGCGGAGGAAATTTCAAGGACATTGTGTTTGGCTCTTTCCCGTCTCTCCCCAGTAAAGTTCACTTTAATGAGCCCAGACTTTATCTTTTTCTTCTGTCGCAGGAAATGAGTTTTTCTTTCCAGAGATTTTTTTTTTTTCTCCCCCCTGTTACCCCCCCTCCCCAGCCCCTCTGGAGCTGATTAAGGGCAGGAAGCGGGTGTTTATCCCACCGGGGCAGCGGGATGCTGCGCTCGGAGGAAGGGAGGGAGCATCCCGGCCTCTCGCCCCAGCTTCCCAATCCATGGACTGCGGGGAGCCTGCAGCCGCATCCTTCAACCCATCCCGCTCTCCCTGATCCTGTCCCGCTTGCTGAACCCCGCTGTGCTCTGCGTGTGTGTCCCTGGAGACACGGGCAGCATCTGGGCTGTATCCTGCACGTGCATCCCCTCCCGCTGGCTGTCCCTCAGGCTGTGGGGTCTGGGGGCGGACGGATTCGGACCCCCCTGTGACCCCAGCCGTGCCGGGATGGGGATTTCCACCACTTTCACACCTCGGCGTCTCCTTGTTTCTTTTTTGGGGGTACGTGGTGACTGCAATGTGGTGTTTCGGAGCAGGGTGCTCCCTGCCCCGCTGTGCCATTGGTGCTGCCCTGTCTGGGGATCAAGGGACATGCTGGGGACACCCAGCTGAGGCTGGCCACCAGGCCGGGTGTCCCTCTGGGTGAGGATCTTTATGGGGGGTGAGTCACAGGGCCCCAGCAGACAGGAATTTGGGGATGCAGGTGTGGGGGACAGGGATTTAGGGGCTCCCCAGCACCCACAGCGGTGCCCAGGAACGATGTCACAGCAGAGGAGCTGCGATTTAGCCAGGCGCAGTGAGAGCAGGAGGCAGCAGAGCCCCGACCCCGGCAGGGCCTCCCACCGCTCGCTTTTGGGCTGCTGGGAGCCGGGCACGGAGCCAGGGGTCTTGGAGGGGGTGGTGGTGGTGGAAGAGGGGCAGCAGTGCCCGGGGCAGCCAAGGTCACGGCGACGGAGCAGTGGAAGGGAGGGAGCGGGGGGGAAAAAAAGA